CTTTAAATCTTACAAAAATGTTGTTACAACTGTTTAAGATCCTGTTTGTTTCCAGCCCCCTACAGAGAGAGGACCCCAAGAGAGATCAAAGGCTCCCACGCGGATCTTCTGGGGCTTCCTGGCCGTGGCTTTGCTCTTCTCCATAGTGGGAATAAGCGTGGTCGGCGTGCTGGGATGGAAAGATAATAAAACAAAGGTAACTAGGAGAACTTACAATGTGATAGTAATGAACTTCCTAAGGAAGAAAAGAATCCCGAATGTGATCCAGGGTTGGTTTGAAAAAGCTATACAGGTATTCCGTGAATCTCATTGGTTGTGCTCAGTTCAGTCCCCATCATTAGTGGCACACAGAGCAGACGAAGCAATTCTTCCATAATTCTGGCAACACAATACCCAGATATGGAAGCTGCAAATGATTTTCTAATGGAGATTTGAGAAATACCTTTTCTGTTCCGCCTTGCCATTCAGCTCTGTAGGCCGTTCCGCATGACATAGCCGGTTCATTTACTCTAATACAGGGGTGGACAACCTCGGCACTCCAGCTGGGATGAAAGTGAACTACGAGTCCCATGAGGCATTACAAAACCCTTCCAGGGCTGAATTGGAGTTTTGCGAGAGAGGTTCCCTTTAGTCCATTAGAGCAAGGGGTAGGGAACCTTGGCACTCAAACTGTGCTAAAACTACAAATCCCAACATGCCGGTGGCTGTCAGAGTCTTGGAATGCCTCATGGGACTTGTAGTCCCATCACAACTGGAGTGCGGAGGTTGCCCACCCCTGCTGTAATGGATTAAAGGAAACCTCTGTGGAGATTTGTTCCCTAGCAAGACTCCCGTTCAGCCCTGGAAGCCACCAGCTCATTGCTGACAAATAGTTTACCATCTGCTTTATTTGACTTCCCCCAGACAAAATGAGCAGGGGGAGCCCCACTACAAGGGTAAGTTTTTGATTTTCCCAGAGTTCCTCTTTAATACCGTGCTCTGCTTTTGAAATAAACCGGACCTAACCGCAAAAAAATAAATATATATATATACCAGAACAAAAAGAGGAAATAAGAGAAGCGTTTAGTGTTTACACACACTTTATAGCAGTATTATAAGCTTAAACGTTATTAATAATAAGTCCAGAACAAATATACATCGCCCATCAAAGTATTTCTTTTCATTTTGGCTCAAGCACTTATAGTCATCATATTTCCGAGCAGCTCCAACTCTCTCAGCTCAGCTTCCCTGAACTTCCTGTCCAGCACAAGATCACAAGTGGCAGAGCCGCTGTCCATCTAACAGCTTGGAGTAGGGAAGGGGAGGGAGTTTGTAGAGGCGCACACATAAGGGTGGCTCCATAGTTTCCTGCAAGGGAAAGGAGTCACCCTAAAACAGGATATCAGGGCCAGTGCTCAGGGGACCAGCTGATTCTGCAGGAAACTAAAACCTTTTATCATCAAGAAGCAGCGTCTATTGTAAGTGATTTCATATATAGTTTAAACATCACTTTAATATCACTTTCGTTAACTGACGCCTTCCTCTATTATGGGTAAGGGTGATCCACACTGATCCCTTGATAGTCACCCCCTTACCTGACCTTGGTAACCAGATGGCATGCTTCATCTTGTAGTCCAATGTTAAAGAGGGCAGTCCAGAGATTAGTCTTTGGGCCACAGGGGGGGCTCAGAGCAAAGGGGGGTAATTGGCCGTTATCTTCACTCCCAACAATGAAGGAAGACATGACAAGAAGAATCAGCTGATTCTGTAGGAAACTAAAACTGTTAAAAATCAAAGAGCAGCGTCCATTGTAAGCCTTCGTTCACACCTAGGCGTATTGCATATGCGCGTCTGTCGCGCGTTTTTTTACCGCGATTCGCGGTAAAAAAGTCGCGCAACTGTCGCGCGTTTCCGAAGGCTACTTGGCTGTATCCCAATGGAAACGCGCAACAAAACGGCCCAAAGTAGTACATGTACCTTTTCAGGCGTGGGACGTTTTGTAGCGCGTTAGGGACGGGCGGAAATACGTGTGAACGAGGGCTTAGTGATTTCATCAGCAAGATTTTGACTTTAATATCACTTTAGGCAGCCATGCCTCTCCTGAGATACTAGTTACCAGGAGCCCGTGCTGTGATCACACAAGGCATTGTGTATTGGGGGAGGTCATAGCGGAGGGGAGCGTGTACAGGACGGGTGCCAGGAGACTCTCAGTAATCTTCTCCCATTTCACTGAAGTCTTCCTGTAATCAGGGGACGTGAATAAGAGAAGTCTCCGCAATGCCCTTCACTTGTTAAGTGAAATGCGTTGGCACTGCGTAGCAGATCTCTTCCAAGTCAACCCTTTACAGAGCTCCAAATTGTCCCTGTTATAGACTCGGATCCCTCTACATTTCTTCCTGTGACAACTCTCCCCGCTATATAAAGCTCTGCATGATATAAACCTCCGTCCATGCTGGTCTGGTCTGGTCTGATATCCTATACATTACTATGAGGCTAGGTCACAGCTATGTGCTGCAGTTTGGCTGAACGCCAGGCCGAGATAAAAGACACAAATCAGTGCAGCTCAACTGTATTCATTAATTCATTGATTTAGTTAATTATTATAGTATTAATTCATCATTAAATATATATATTTTTTTATTAAATGCGAGCAGTGTTAGTACCTGACATTGAATTGATGCCGGCCTCTTGCTGTCCCTGTACAGCAGAACCCAGACAGAGAGAAAAGGAAGCAGTATCAGGAGCCAATCAGTTCATGTACTGACAAACAGCATGCTGACAGGAGGAGAAATCAAATTTGGCAAATGAGATGAGCTTATCAGTCAGCTGCTCCTCCCTTACCGTCCAGTCACAGGCTGGGGGCGGGTCTGTGACAGCCAGGGCTCCGTGGAAGTGAGTTGAATGATGCTGGCTGTCATTCAACACTGGGGACATCTAGTGGTGGAAAATAAGAACTGCATTTTCCAGCAGATCTGGACTGAAGGGGAGTGTTGCAGCAAAATCCATTTTGTTTTCCATTTTCGTACACAAAAATATATGTAACATCAGGAAAAATGCACATAAACTCATGTCCTGACACACACTGCGTATATTCATCTAGGAGAATGGTTTTACACCTCTTATTTTGTTAGTATTAGGCTAGGTTTACACCTAGGCGATTCAGATGCCGAGCTGTTTTTGCGCGTTTTTCAATGCATAGAGATGTCTATGGGACCAAAACCCTGCGACAAACGCCCAAAATAGCTCCGGCACCTTTTCGCGCGACAGGCGATTTCGGTCACGCGACAAACCGCAAAGGTCACGCGACAAACCGCAAGGTGAATTGTGACTGACATGGACTTTATGTTCAGCCTCTGTTACAGGTTGTCCGACTGACCTACAAAAACCTGCAGGGTTCCCCGGTGAACCAGTCCGCCATCACCGACAGGAAGAGGAATACAGTCACTTACCGCGTCACCTCCAGGAACCAGACCTCTGTGGTCCTATATGACAGCAAACATGTGAGTGAGTGCCTGATACTGCATGCAATATGCTACATGCATCCACACTCCCTGCTTAAAGGGGACCACAACAGTTTCTGGTCCATTGTACTTTTTTTTTTTGTTAACTGTTTTATATCTATTCTTTGTAAAGATTTGTTTTACAAATACAGATTTTGAGCGGACCTTCAAAAAAAACCCAAAAAACTAAAACAGGAGGTCTGATTTTCTGCCAGCCTCCCTGCCCTGCCCCCCTAACACACACTTCCTGTCCAGTACAAGATCACAAGGGGCAGAACAGTCTCCAGCAGCTGTCCATGTGCTAGCTTGGAGGAGTGGGGATCAAGGGAGTGGATTGCCTGTGTGTTTGTGGAGACACAAGCAGCTTACTACCGTAGCACACACAAGGGTGGCTCCATAGGACCCTGCAAGGTCAAGGAGGATATCAGGGCCAGAGCTCAGGAAACTAAAACTTTTAATCATCAGCAGCGTCCATTGTAAGTGATTTCATATATAGGTTAAAAACATCACTTTAATATCACTTTAGTTAAAGGAGAACTATGAGGTTAAGGCTCTGCCTATCTAGAGGCAGAGCCAGCTGTACCCGCCCCCTCCCCCGTCCGTTCCGCCAGTCAGCGCTGGCGGATCGAGCGGGGAGGGGGGAATCCAGCCCCTCCCCTGTCACGGCAGAGAGCCGTGACAGGATCGAGAGGTGAGTGAACGCCGGTATGTGTTCGCTCACCTCCCGATCTACTGAGCCGACCTGTGACAGTCTCATTGTCACAGGTCGGCTAGAACTATGAGGTGAGTGAAAAGCACTCACCTCATAGTTCTCCTTTAAGTCACACCTTCCTATATTATGGGTAAGGGTGATCCACACTGATCCCTTGATAGTCACCCCCTTACCTGACCTTGGTAACCAGATGGCATGCTTCATCTTGTAGTCCAATGTTAAAGAGGGCAGTCCAGAGATTAGTCTTTGGGCCACAGGGGGGGCTCAGAGCAAAGGGGGGTAATTGGCCGTTATCTTCTCTAGACTGAGATGATGTCATCAGTCTGCTGCAGGCAGGAAGAAACATTTCCGCTTTCGCAGTGATCAGATTCTACATTGTAACTTTGCAGCAAGTCACAAGGTGAGAGGCTGTAGCAGGGGCTGATCCGTGCCAGACATTCAGGGCCGGTGTAGACCTGGGCTATGGGGTACATCTGTTTTAGCTGCGATCATATTCTATTGCACGGGTGGAATTGCGGCGAAATCCACCCGGCGCAACTGGGGTGCCATTAGAAAATAATGGCACCGGCAGCGCGATCGTTGGTGGTGGGTGACTCCATGACTGTGTGGCAATCCACGCGGTATTGTGCACGTGTGAACCTGGCCTTATGAACACTATCTCAAAGCTGGCATCTCAGTCTAGGGCAGAGTTTCTCAACTTTTTTTTAGTCATTGCACCCTTTAAATGTGTGCACCCTTTGAACGTGGGCACCCCAGTCTAAAATGTTGCGGATTTTAAGGGGGACTCCACGCAAAAAAACCAAAAAAGTGGGTTTCCCACTTTACATCAAAGTATCCCCTATAAATAAAGATTGCCCCCTCCCCTTCATATCAGAGTTACCTTTTGCATTAGTAAGCCCCCTTTCATATCAGAAGCCGCCCCTCTATCACATTAGAGCCCCCCTTCATATTAGTCTTCATTCCCCCTTCACATTACAGTCCCTTTATGGCACCCCTGAGGAGGCCGGGAGGCACACATGTGCCATGGCCCCCTGGTTGAGAAAGGATGATCTAGGAAGTAAATGCTGAGACCCTGGATGATACCTATACAAAGATGAAGGCATTATCTAGACCAGGGGTGGGCAACTCCGGAAATCTCGCTGTGCTTTGACTACAAATCCCAACATGTCTCTCGGAGTCATGTCTGTAACTGTCAGTTTTGCAATGCCTCGTGGGACTTGTAGTTCCTCAACAGCTGGAGGGTCGCAGTTGCCCACTCCTGATCTTGACTGCAGGGGTAGGCAAACTACAGCCCTCCAGCTGTGGTGAGACTACACATACCATCATGCATCTACCTGTTGGAATCATACCTGTGGCTGTCAGAGTCTTGCAATGCCTCATGGGACTTGTAGTTCCACAACAGCTGGAGTTTTCCTTCCCCTGCTCTAGAGGAAAACCAGGGAAAGGTATTACGAGTACTGTGATCTGTTTGGGAGATAATGAGGACCCGGGGAGTGTTTTGCTGTTACATGTTGCTTGCCCGGCGTGCACTGAACATGATTTTTCATCTATCGTTCTGCAGGGTCTGGTCTGCTATAAGGCGGCCGGAGAGAAATCCTGTTTCCTGCGTCGCATGGAAGTCCGAGATGTAGAGAATATACAGTCCTTCTTAAATACGTCTGTGCCCAAGGTGATGTATTGCCGTCTGAATATTGCCTCACCTCATATAATGATCATTTGCTGGTTTGGTCCCTCTATGGCTAAATCCCATCAACTAGGGATGCACCGATCCCGGTATTGGTGCCGATACTGGGCAATTCAATGAGTATTGAGTACTTGTACTCGTGAAAATGCTCCGATACTAAATGCCGATACCGGCGCTTTACAATTTTTAATTGATGATACTGCTGGAGGTCCCGCACTTGCTGGGAACCTCGGCAACCTTCCTGTGAACCGCGCGGCACCAGTTTACAGCTCTGGCTGCACATCTCTTCCTTGCTGGGTAACCTTACCGCCCACACCCACCCTTGAGACCCTCCGGACCCCTGGTGAGACCCTGCACAGCACCCAAGACCCTGCACATCCCTGGCGAGACCCCACATAGCCCCCGAGACCCTGCACAGCCCTGGTGAGACCCCACATAGCCCCCGAGACCCTGCACAGCCATAGTGAGACCCCAAACAGCCCACCTGAGCCCCCCCTCAGCCCTCCTGTGATCCACCGCTGGAGACATCAGGCCAGCAACCCAGAGTATGTAGCTTCATATTATTCTGGATTGCTGTAGAATGTATTGCTGGTATTTGTAGTCCTCTAAAGCCGGTTGCCAGCTGGAATTGCTGGGATTTGTAGTCCTCTATAGCCGGTTCTATTTGTCATTGCTGTATAATGTATTGCTGGGATTTGTAGTCCCTCTACAGCTTGAAATCAGTGGCAGAACTACCAGGGTCTCAGCTGCAACTGGGCTCTGGCGCTCCACCACTATCCTAAAACCATTAGTCTGTATTATTTTAGAAAAACTGTCACATGACACAAAGAAAAAGGTATCAGTAATTGGTATCAGCGAGTACTTGAGGAAACGTATCGGTGCATCCCTACCATCAACCATAGGGCTGTATGTGGACGCCCCTCTATGCAAGGCTATGCTTTCAAGTCTCTGCTCTGTTGCAGGATGGGATCCTCTTGCTGCAGAACAACAGGACGCGCTACTACCGGGAATTCCTAGGAGTGCTCGCCGGCCGGAAGGTCAACTATGAGCTTGTAGGAGAGCCTGTGCAGCAGTTGTGTGACCAGCTCCCTATATACTGGGTTAAGAAGAGTGATGGTAAGTAAATGCTATGGAGCTAGAGGAACCAATGGGGAGGGAGGAGGGAGAAAGAGGCCGAGTTGCCAAAATGGTTATAATTAAAGCTGAACTCCGGCCTCACCTTCAGTCTTGTACAGTTGTACCGGCTCCTCTCCTGGACTGAAACCGCTTCCTCTGATTTCTCTGCACACTGAGAGCTTCTTATATTGTGCATTAGAAGCTGCAGCAAGTCAGATAGAGCCCGCCTCATTTCCTGGCTGGAGGATGTTCAACACCTGGTGACCTACCTTGTAAAAGTAAAATTTTGTGGAAAATAAGCTCTTGCCATATCAGACATGGTGCCCAGAGGGCTGCTCTATAGAGTCACCAGGAGCCACATAGGACTTTACAGATATCACACTACTTTCTGCAGTACAATGGGAGTGTGCGCATACAATGGGGGTGTAGTCATACGATGGAGGTGTAGTCATACGATGGAGGTGTAGTCATACGATGGAGGTGTACTCATACGATGGAGGTGTAGTCATACAATGGGGGTGTAGTCATACGATGGGGGTGTAGTCATACAATGGGGGTGTAGTCATCCAATGGGAGTGTAGTCATCCAATGGGAGTGTAGTCATACATTGGAAGTAGTCATACAAGGGGAGTATTCTCAAACAAGGGGAGTATTCTCATACAGCTGCAATCATATATGTAGACGTTTGATCTGGATCCTGATGGAACACAACAGTCTTTGACCCACAGACTATCATTACGATCTGCAGATTTAATCTAAGATGACCAGATCTGTCATAGAACTGGCAAATGTATGGGTACCTTGTATACCAAAATAAAGTGTGATCTAACCAACATGTCAACCGAACTATCTATGTAACAATCTGCCTTCTGATCTCTGTAGGCCCAACAAGACGTCTCATCTATCTGTGCATCGACATCTGTTTCCCCAACAACATCTGTGTGTCCGTCTGTTTTTACTACCTGCCCGACTAAGCTGGACCTGATGGCACAGGCTCCACGCGGCTCTGCCCGGACGGTCCCCTTCAAGCAGATTTGCACATAGGCCGGCACTTCCATTTTATTTTTGGTGTGTAAATGTTTGACCTTTATTTTGTGCAGCTGGACTGTGCAGCGTTTTGCACATTCCCCACAACACAACCAGACGCTGACAGCAGTTGTACGGTTCTCATTCATTCCCAGTCTACAAAAAAAAAAAAAGACCTTTGATCTGCAAAAAGTAATCGATTCAGATGTTGCTTAAAGCAGCGACTTTACACGACGATGCCGATGAGATGGTCCAGTGCGGCCCTGACCTCCATTCTAGAAAGGCTTGAGCTGGAGAAGCATGGCAGTGGGCGGGACTGTGTGTAACATAAGGGCGTGTCCTGTGTTGTTCAATAAAGTTTATTGAATGCATTTGTGCAGCACTCGGTGAAGGGATCGGTATTTGCATCATTGCGTATCTACTAAGGTCTGCTAAGGAAATCTGACATCTTACGGACCCAAAGCAATTAAAAACAAACACATTTTAATGTCAATTCACAAAGGCCTAATGCAGGGGTAACCAATCTCCGGCCCTCCAGCTGTGCTGAAACTACAAACCCCATGATGCATCTGTCTCTGGGTGTCATGCCTGTTGCTGTGGGAATCTTGCAATGCCTCATGGGATTGGTACTTTTACCAGAGCTGGGGGACCGGGGTTTGGTTACCCTTGGCCTAATGCATCAAGTATTGTAATTCCTCATTCAGCAGACATTTTTGTTTTCAGTTCACGAAGCCCCGATTCCCACATTTGCTAGTCATTACCACACAGACATTAACACAGGGGTGCTGTGCTTTAACTACAAATCCCATAATCCCTTTGCCTCTGGGAGCCATGCCTGTAGTTGTTAAAGAGTCTTGCAATGCCTCATGGGACTTGTAGTTCCACAACTTCTGGAGGACCGGAGTTGCCCACCCCTGCATTAACGTGTGGTGCTGTAAAGCAACCAGCTTTTTTTTTAAAGCAGTGCACCATTGTTCACATCTGCGCATTGTGGTGCAATGAAACGCATGGACTTTGTGGTAAGCTGAGGTGCTATTTAAAAGCGGTGGTCTCTCTGCAGAGGTCTGTCACACCCCCGACTGAGTCATAGTAGAGCTCTCCAATCTATTTATTACAGGTGTTTATATAGCGCCGAGAATGTATGTAGCGCTTTACATGCTGCGCACCATAATAGAAGTCACCGGCACTCGATGATACGTGCCAGAAATATAAGCACTTTTTTATTGCATTGTCACAAAGCCAACGTTTCGGGGCCACGCAGGGTCCCTCCTTCAGGGCAACATATTTCTCGCATGTATTATCAAGTGCTGGTGACTTCCATTATGGACTGCATCTGACACGGCGCCATCCGTGTTGTCACTTCAAGCTCCAAACTGCCATGAAGATCTATATGCTGTATGGAGTGCAGGTGACTTTTCGATATCTATTACATGCTGCACATTCACATCAGTCCCCGCCCTCGAGGAGCTTACAATCTAAGCCCGATACACACTAGGGCCAATGTAGACAAGAGCCAATTAACCTTCCAGCATGTCTTTGGGGGTAGGGAGAAAACCAGCGTACCCGGAGGAAAACCACACAAACACATGGAGAACATGCAAACTCCTTGCAGACATTGTCCTGACCATCAGCAAGAAGCTCGAGCTAACAGGGGCGTGCCTGACCTCTGTAGAGAGACCACTGCTTCCACACAGAGAGCAGGGGGTCCTTCACTGCAGCAAGGGACAGGCTTTTCTCCTCTAGCTCAGGCTGCTTGTATAGAAAATAAACTCCAACACTTTGCACACCATTGGAATGTATTCAGCAGGTCCAAAGTGAAAGTTCTAACTGGGCTTTACCAGCCAGGTTCTATGAGACGACTCTTGCAGAGGACAGGAAAAGCAGCTGTTTCTTCTTTGGTTCTGAGACCCCAGAAAAAAAGAACCAGAACCACAACAAAAAGAGTTAGGAAAGCTGGCAGTTTTGTTTGACAAGAACCATTTTTTAGGGACATGTATATTCGTGATTATCCATCCTTCAGTTTACACACACTGTACTTCAATACTGATCAGAAGATTTATAAGGAGATTCCATGAATAGTAATGGCCAGTCTTGCAATGCCTCATGGGACTTGTAGTTCTACAACAGCTGGAGGGAGCCGGAGTTGTCCACCCCTGCCATAGAGAGAAGCTGTCAAAATCGGAATCTCTGCTTCTGAATTGTTCAAATAGTCCGGCCTTACCTCCCAGGGCTGTTTTTCATTATCTTCTTGTATTCTCTCCCTGTCCAAGCAGAACGGTCAGGTTGAATGTTTTGCCTGCCTGAGCCTTTTACTAATAGCGGACACTCAAGAAACTGTTTTGTGACAAGTAAGCTTCTCTGGCGGCCAGGACAGTGTTCCAACAGTCTTGAGATCAGGCAGAAGATACGTCTATTTCCTGCTCTGACAGGGAGAGAATATAAGTGAATAACAAAGATCCCTGAGAGGCAAGACTGAACTAATATTACTACTTTAGAGTCATTATATAGATTATGATTCATGCCCCAGTCTGACTGATGATCTAGAACCTATCAATCGAGTAGCCATGTAACAATTTCAAAGTGATCCAACTGTACAACTGATATTTCTTCACCACTTCAGAATAAAAGTCTCTGTCTTTGGCTGGTCCTAATACCCTTCAGGGTGAAGTAAAAGCCAATCCTTGTGCTGGGGGCTCATGCAGTCAGTTTGTGTCAGCCCAGAACACTGTCATTGAATGCTAGACAGACCACCGCCTTCTGGTGCCCGCTGTACTCTCTCTTGATCTCACCGGTCTCTACACACCACAGCCGAGCCAGGTTATCCGATGATGCTGCAGGAGGAGGAAGGAGAGAACTCGCTTTCATTACTACAAATATGACATTCTTTTTCAGTTCAGCCATAGATTTGATTAAACCCTCCAATTCTTTAATATAAAACGATTCCTGTCCCTCCTGCATACGTATACCGGAAAGTGATTTTCACAAATACGCCTCCAGTCACTTACTTTTTGAATCTCTGAGCCTAGGGTGACGGGAGGACGCTAGTTTGTGTCCTCCCGTTACCCTAAGGAGAACTATGGGGAAAAGACTTAACCCCGTAGTTCTCTTTTAAAGAACTCCAGGCATTTTGTTATCAATCCTTGCAGTATGGCTTCGCCCACACTGCAAGGGTTAATAAAAAGTTTGCCCGGGGGTTGCCCTTTAAAAAAAAAGACTTCAGATCCAGACGGGAGGGCGCCCACTGTAAACATCATCAAAATCCCACAGTGGGACTACATGTCCCATCACCCTATGTGCACACTGCCAATGCTTGACCAGAGATGTGAGCAGTTGCTCAGCCGCTGCGAGTGCTGAATTAGCGAACCGTCGCTGAACTCTGTGCTGCAAGTCGGCACTGGTAACTTAGCACTCGCAGCGAAAGTGTATGTGGAGGCAGAGCGCTGAGTGTGACAGAGAAGGCGGGGACAGAGCACCAGCGGCCATTTTAACTGTGGGCACACCTGGCAGCGCTGGAGAAAGGTGCCTGAACCCTGATGGAGGAAAATCGATTCAGTGTGGGAACCTACAATTCAATGTTTTGGCGGACGAACGCAAAATATTGGTTGGAAAATGGTATTTATTAGTCAAAAATATTATCCTCCGTCATTTTGCTTAGCGCTGCGCGGCCGAAGCGTTTAGTGAAGCTGCTGCAGCGAACTGAAATGCTGCAGGACAGCTACTCGGCGCTTGGCTAAGGAACTGAACACGCCTCAGTTGTCTTCAGCGGGTCTCTCAGCCCATTCTGCCAATCACTCTCTGGCGGAGGAGTTGCGGTATTCTCCAGCTCCTCCTCCAGAGATTGATTGTCACTAGCCACAGGTAACCACTGGCTGTACAGCGGCGGGTGGCTGTGGCAACTGCCAGCGCTTTGTACATGCTTCTCGGCCACAGCTGTTCACATACCCTTGTGATTCCACAAGAATTTGCTGTCCATACTTTACAGCATGTGTGAATGAGACCTAAAAGTCCATCTAATTCTACGCTGTCCACATGGTGACAACCCGGCAATTATTTAAATGAAGAACGAACAGTGTTGTCACCTTGTTAAAAGAAGTGGAAACATAACAGATCTAGTGGCGGGATTACCAGGTAATAAAGCTATATTACAGGGGGACTCAAAATAAAATCCCCCTGTATTAGTGCTTGTAGCAGATTGCATCATATGCAATATATCATAATGTCCAGAGCCCCACTTTAAGTATAGTATATCTGTACCTGTAACAATGTACTGGGAGTCCCCGGAAAAGGCGCAGTCCCACATCCATCCTCTCGATGTCTCTCCGGGGTTATTACTCTTTATACTCAGCTCTGTCATCAGTGAGAAGTTGGAGGTCCTCCAGATCTTGCAGGTCTGATCGGCGGAGCATGTGGCGAGGAGTCTGCAATGAGGCACAGGAGCTGAACTCTCAAACACACTACAATGGACAGAAGTGCGGCATGCCATTCGATTTGTTTTCCATGTGCTTTGCTAGTGACAACCGAACAAACGGGAGATCGGCTCCCATCACAAAAGGAAAAAACTCAAACTGGAATTCTCCCTGTGGCAGCTAATGGCAACCATTCCAGTATTCTAACAAATGCACGGTGCAGGAAAGATGGGGGGAACAAATGTTTTTCATAGCAGTAACAGGTTCTCATAATAACTGCCCCCCTCCCGCTGATCCTCACCTTTGCCATGCTCCCTCTCTGATCCATTACTCTGTTGGAGCCATTGAAAATACCCAGTTCATCCAGGTAGGGGGACTGTGTGTCCTCTCCCCTTCCTCCCAGGATGCAGTGCTCAGCGCATGTCTGATGGGGCCAATGTCATTGGCTGGGAAGCCAATCTTAGCATGGAGTTGGCTTCCTGGCCAATCAGGAAGCCAGGAGGCAGTTCATTACCCGTGGCCCGCCTTCCTGAATGGCCGGGAATCCGGCTCCATGTTGATTGGCTGGCAAGCCGGCTTCCCAGCCAATCAGCATCAAGCCAACCAAACAGAATGGAGCCGGCTTCCCGGGCCAATCAGAA